AGGGCCTGGAGCAGAGAGTGTAATGGGGGATGTGAAGAGGCACTGTGCATCTGGTGTGTTTAGTTCAACTCTTTTATTTCTGAACCTGCCTTCCTGACATCCATGAACTCTGCTTTTTCCTATCCAGCAGCTGACATTTAGGCTCCTCCCATTTCACTGTCTTGGTTATCTTGTTGTAGACGGGAAAACGTGAAGCTGTCATGCTCCTTCCACTTCAGAACAGCACTGCAGGGCTTATTCCGCCCAATGCACCCCTTTATTCATTTCCCCCCATCTTCTTCACTGTTCATGTCCTGTCTGAAGGGATATTGAAGCCAACAACTTCTCTTTAGTTCCCAAACCTTTCAAGATTTATGGTGTCTCAGGCTTTACCAAGGGCTTTACTCTCACACTTAGTATACAATACTAGGTTTTATTTTCCATATCAAATGTGCTTCAAATGAACCGCTTCTCTGAACTTCCCAGTGCCATGGTAAGATTGTGGACCTCCCCCAACCCCAGAGATAGGAGACCTCCCTGAGCAGCTTGTGTCTTGAGCTCCATACGTGTGTAGTCAGGAGAACTTTGACAGATAGAAAGCAGACTGGATGAAATAATGGATTGCTTGAATTCAAAATACTAGATACTATAAATTCTTCCCTCAGAAATACACCACTGTTAACAGGGGAAAAGCCCTTTCCAAGCTGCTGGTGCCAAGATTTGGGCTGAGACCAAATGGACTTTACTATATGAAGATATGGAAACAGTTTATAAAGATCATCCAGCCATAGAAATGAAAGAAATGTACCCTGGAAGTTATCACCACTGACCTGACCTTCCTGCAGTAACAGTGAATGCTCCTTAAAAAGTCATACAGCCAGCAGGAAACCCAGAGGCTAACATTTGTTTTCACACCACAGCCACCAAACAAAGACGTATAGCAGATTGCTAGAAAAAAAAAAAAAAAGAGTTAGCTTATGGGAAGAAAAAGGGGTAAAATGTGGCAGCTTAGATGTCTGCTGTGAATTATTTTTTTCAAGTTGAATGGGTTGAAGCAGATGAAACGTACCTTACTTGCACTGTACCTTGCACTTCCTACTGCAATAGTAAGGATTTCTAGGTAGTTTAACTGGTACTTGTGCCCATAAATTAGGACTTGGCTCTACTGAGTATAGTGAATTTATTCAGCTCACAGACATGTTTTGGCACATTAGGAAAAGGGGTTCTTTTTTTTACCAAGGAACTGCTTCAGTCTTTGAGAATATTTTCCAAGGAAGTATTGAATATTAAAGACATATTATTATTATTTCATTTATTTTGAGGAAAGTCTCCAAATACTAAGGCATATACACATAGATACAAAATATATATACAAGCGATATATGCATACATAACACAAAACTGATGCTGACATACAAAACTTCAAAGAACTCATGCAATGAAACTCCACCCAGAAAAGTGGAGGCATCATTTTCTTTCAAGAAGTATGACAAATGCTTTAATAACACATGGTGCATAGTGTGTACCTTGGGCTCCAGAGATCCCAAACAGTGTAGATATAATACAAGAGCTCAGGTAAGGTTTGTGGCAATGAATTGTGCATCAGTTTGAGTACTGGTTGTGTGTAGCTCTGAATGGAGCATGTAATTATTATCCTCCCTGTTAAATGTATAGCAATTAATGTTTTGGTAGCACTGAAGTTATTCAGGTAATGTTTTAATCCAACCATGACATTTGACTCTAGTTTTCACAAAGATTGCTTCCAGGCATTCCCTGTAGTCTTCTAAAAAAATGTCCTTTTGTTTCGAGAAATATTAATGCATATGTGAAAAGAATTTTATGGATTAGTAGAGCCTTGCGTTCTTTCTGTATCCCTATAGCTCAAATGGAGGAACAGCTGGAAGAACAGATTTAGGAAAGAAGGCATGCCCAGGCAAACTGGTCTAGAAGAGGATTATGGGTGGATGGTAGTTAGTGTGTACAGTAACTCAGTGAGTAAAATCATCAGGGATGTAGTTGGACTGGTTTATGACTGGCAGGTGTTAGTGTAAAATGCTGACTAAAGCTCAAGAAATAGATCTGCGAGAATGTGTGGTTCTCAACCTAGAGAGTCACGCAAGAATCATTGCTTGACTGTAGCTAATTCTTTCAAGTTGCTTCCTAGGCCTGTTTTTAGCTTTGTAGGTTTTTTCTTCTCTCTCATTTGTGAGCCTGGGAGGGAAAATGCAGGCAAAGAAGAATATTTAGTCTCTAATGACCTGTCCATTTGAATCACCATTCTGAGAAAACTGCATGATAAACAAACAAAAATAAAAATATATTTTAAACTCCCAGTTCCCAAAGTTGGTATCTCACAGTGACAGATTCTACATCCTTTCTTGTGATGCTTCTTCAGGTAAAACGAATAGCCAGTTTCTCACAGATCCAGAACTGCTTTGTTGAACAGGAGTTGCTGGCATAAATAATCCGTCCATATAAGGAGGCACAGAAGATGTTTTCATATAACATTACCCTAGGAAATTAAAAGATATAGCTTAATGATGTCCCAGTGACATCGTGTGATCTATATTTGGACCATATGTAATCATACTTATTTGCCACTGGCATGTAGAGTTATTTTCCCCTTGGAGCTAATTTATTTGAGCTAGGTCCTTTTGATTCTGGTGCATTTGATCGAGCTGTACTTTGCCACCCATTGTTCCTTATACAGGACACAAATTCAGAGCTCCATAGAAGATTCTGTGATCTCCATGCTCCTTTGTCATTGCACATATGACAAACACGGGAAAGTAAGGCAAGCACAAGTTTCATATAATTTACTGGGGCCCATCAGATACAACCACACTGGTCCTATGTTATGAAGGCTTACCAGTTTGTCGCTTGTTTGGAAAAAGTTGTTCCATCCTCCCAGTACCAGCCACCCTTTTCAGATACGTATGATAATCCAACCCAGTAAAACTGTGAATCCTGTGGCAGAGAAACCTGCAGGTATGGGAAAAATCATCACAACAGTATTTCAAAAATCAGATTCACGTTCCTGTATCTTCCAGCTGTGAAGGCTCTGTAACCAAAAGAGACAGCTCTTGCTCAGTAGGAGAGTACCATGTCCAAGCTTTTTTTCCATGAGGCAGTGCTGACTGCTCTGATTATAGGATCATTCAAATACCATTGTTTATTGAATTGCCACAAGACAAATGTACCCTGGATCTGCAAAAACACTGCTTTGTCAAAGGTGGTGGTGGGGGAAAGCACCTTTATCTGGTCTGCATTTAGGTATTGACACTGCCTTTAGATATCTGCGGTTTATATATAGATATGGGAGCACTGTTTAAGCCCCAGTTAGAGTCAGCAGATCCAATGGAGCCTGAGGAGTAATTCATTCCACCCGGCAGGAGTGCCACTGAGTAGTGACTGTACTGGCCAGATCTCCCACTGGTTGTAACGGAGCCGAAGGAAGCAGGGCTGAAGTTGCAGACTGCTGACACTGTAGATGCCTGAAGTTAGGTGATACGAATCCCAGCTCAGAGGGCAGAGCCTGCTGGCCCAATTCAGGCCTCTAGCACCTTCTGAGATTCTCCAACCTGTCTGAGGTCTTCACATATGGCTGACAGACAAGACCCAGAACCTATGGGAGAACTCTGCCCTCCTAAGGCACTGTTTGGAGGTCGAAGAGAATACCCCCGGGCATCCCAGATTGCCCTAGGAACCTATGCTTAGGCACCTGAATCCTTTGCTAGGTGTCTAAGTGCTACCTAGGAGGTTCCTCAGCATCTTAGCCTGTTCAGATCCTCCAGATACTTTACTGCTGCTCAGTAGCATGTTTAGAGACTCATCCAAAATTTAAATCCACAGTTGGCTTAAAGTGCTCTGGCCTCAGTCTGGCTGCAGCTGCATATACCGAACATGGGAGAAACAGCAAGCATCCAGACATCTGGAATCAAACTATCCAGGGATTTATATAGCATACGAAAATCGTCTCTTGAATTCAGCATTGAAGGTGTGGTATTCAGGTGTCTCCCAACAGTGTGAACCATGATTCTGACCTCAGGATGTTACTAAACTCAATAATAAACCATTTCTCCACTTTCTATTTTGTCTCTACCGATTTGATTTTCACTTTAAAAAAAAATCCAAAAGGCCAGCCTTTATGCCTTAAAAGAGTTGAGAATCCCCATCTGAAACTAACTTCATCTGCAAAAAGGAGAGGTTTCCAGGGAAGCTTGTTTCCTTTTAAAAGTTTTATGTAGCAAAAAGAAAATGAGAATATTTGGGCTTTGTATAAGCTTAATAGCTGTTGAAAAAGAGGTTCCCATATATATGTGTAAAAAAGGGGAAAATATGGTCTTGACAGGAAATTGCAGAATTTTCATTAGTCAGCAAAAAAACCCAAATTAGTAAGTAAAACTTGTGGAAAGGGATAATGAAAGCATGCATTCTGTGTGCTGGGTGTCTCCTCCATGCTGATACTATGCAATTTGGTTTCTCTGTGAAAGCCTAAGTATTAGCTAATTAAGGTATTTTATACAATGGCTTACTCTATTTCTCATAATTTCACTATTTCTCACAGCACACAATTTAGAAAGTGTTGCAGGTTGTGACAATCTTGTTACTTGCAGGAAGGCTGCTTGACCAAGAGAAAATTAAATAAATGTACTGTAAACAACCAAACTATTTTCTGCCTGCAAGATCGCTGGAAGTTAAAAGATGTGACATAAAGAAATGCATGAGGTTAAGACTGTACCATCTTTGCTTTGTCTTTTAGCACAAGAAGAGTGGAGTTTCTTGAGGAACAGAACTCCTGGCTTTGCTTCCATGTTTTCTTCTGCTTTGAAATGTAGAAGCAGTTGTCAGCTCCACTGTTTTGCCAGCTTGCTGGACAGAGAGCACATTTTGTTTCTAGAAATCAGAGAGAGTATTATGCAGACCTGCGAGGAACACGGGGGCTTTAGCTACTGGCTTGACTGAGAACAGATGAAGGGTAGCCACGCGTCAGCTGAGCTGACAAGTTGTTCTGCGTGTTAGTGCACACATATCCACATCTCAAATACTACCACAGTTAAAAGCGGAAACTAAGAGATCCTGCGTTTTCCCCTCTGATTTTATAGTCTCTCAGTCAATGTGCTCTGAAAAGGGGGTGATTTGTGTTTATTTACATAACAACCACATTTACCATTCTTCTCCTTCCCTTCAAAACACAATGCTTCCCTCATTTCCTGCAGCTTCTTTCCTTCCTCAGGATCCTTGGAAACCTGAAAAACTGAAGGGCATGAAAGTGCTTTTCAAAGACTGTTTTCAAAATCTTGTAGTTTTAATTGTAGCTTTAAGCTGTAGTTTTCGACATTCTTTTATTCTCTGTCTACTTCATTTGTATGTCTACCATTGTGTGTACATCATCTGCATTTTCTTCACCTGGAGGGTTGTGCAGCACCTGAAAATGTCACCTGGGAAGCTGGGGGCATCTCCGCCCTTAAAGATTTCCAAAAGTCATCTGGACAAAGCTACAGGTGAGTTTCTCTGGGACTGGTGATAGTCCAGCTTTGAATGGTGGGGAGGAAAGGGTGGGTGTCAGACTAGAAACCTGAAGAATTGCCTCTGAGCTAACATTTCTGTGATGCCACGGACCACCCTGAGTGTTCGTCCTGGGTACTTGCAACTGCTCCCCTCCTGCCAAAAAGAAGCTGGGGTCTCTCTGCCCCTGCTTCCAAATGTAATGTGGCATCACCTTTTGTTGTTAATGCAAATGTTTCTATGGAAGAAATCTGCTGTAATCGTTGGGCAAATGTACCAGTCACAAATGCTTTGATGCCAGGGTTGCCCTCCCTGCAAAAAGTTTACAAGCCAAGAAAAAGAGGGAACTGTGAAATATTCCGGTAACAGTCACAGGGGGGCACCATTATCCACATAGTGTGGCTGAAGAGATGGGCTTCTAGCTGTGAAAACGAAGCATTTCAGAAATGGGTTAACGTTGGACGTTGGAGTTAGGTTTAGGGTGAAGGTTAGTCAGCGGTAAGGGTTAGGGTTAGGGTTGTCCTGGTTTCGGCTGGGATAGAGTTAATTTTCTTTCTAGTAGCTGCTACAGTGTCATGTCTTAGATTTAGTATGAGAAGAATGTTGATAACACACTGATGTTTTCAGTTGTTGCTAAGTTGTGTTTAGACTAAGCCAAGGATTTTTCAGCTTCTCATGCCCAGCCAGCGAGAAAGCTGGAGGGGCACAAGAAGTTGGCACAGGACACAGCCAGGACAGCTGACCCAAACTGGCCAAGGGGGTATTCCATACCATGGGATGTCATGCCCAATATATAAACTGGGGGGAGCTGGCCGGGGGGGGACTGCTGCTCAGGAACTAACTGGGCATCGGTCAGCAAGTGGTGAGCAATTGCATTGTGCATCACTTGTTTTGGGTATTCCAATTCTTTTATTATTATTATTGTAATTTTATTATTGTTATTATTATCATTATTATTTTCTTCCTTTCTGTCATACAAAACTGTTATCTCAACCCATGAGTTTTGCTTTTTTTCCCTGATTCTCCCCCCCATCCCCCTGGGGGGGGGGGGTAGTGAGTGAGTGCTTAGTTTCTGTCTGGGTTAAACCATGACAGGGTTAGTGTTAAGCTTGGGGTTAGGGTTAAGGTCATTATGATTAGGGTTAGGATTAGGCGTTAGAGTTATGGTTTAAGATTAGGGTTGGGGTTAGGTTTATGCTTAGGGATAGGGATAGGGTTAGGGATTATATTGTTAGGGTTAGGGTCATTAAGGTTAGGGTTAGGCTTAAGGTTAGGGATTAGTTTTAGTGTTGGGGTTAGTTAGGTTTAGGTCTTGCATTAGGATTAGTGTAATCCTTAGGGTTAAGGTAACTGTAAGTGCAGATATTAGTGATCCCACGCAACATGTGTTGACACTCAGACCCTTCTGTGGCAGAGCTGTACTGTGACCCTTCTTGCCAGATTACTTCCACTGGGGGAACAGGGACACCAGGGACAGTCTGCAGGGGGAGAAGAAGCAGCTGTACATGTGGAATTCAATCCCACAGCAGCAGTTCAGGACACCACAGTACTTACACAGGGCTAGCAGAGTTACCAGCCCCGTCAGCAGCACCAGGCTCAAGGCAAGGAAAGCAAAGGCCACTGGCCGCCATATGGAAGTTGAGGCAGAGGCTCCTGGGACAAACAAAAAACGCATTCAGCAACAAAAATAGCGGTTCTCCTCACCACACAGTGGTATTACCTCCTCTCTGACAACACCAGTTCATTTTTATCCCTTCTGCAGTGCCTTTTTTTTTCTTACTGCAGTTTTTGTTATCACTGTTCTGAATTTCCTGTAGTCATTTTGAGAAAGTATCTATTTATCCACCAAGAATATTTATTAACTGAGGCTCTAGTGTTTTAGAGTAAAACTTCTTCTCATGAGACAGGTAAACAGATTAGATTTTGCTGTTCCCACAGTCCTGGAAATAATAAAACAATCTCTAAGGCTTCTCCACGTTGAAAAGGAAAAATTACCATCTAGTTTTGGATAATTACTTTTGAAAACTGTGTTTGGCATTTCTAAATGATTGCAACATTTGAACATTAAACTGTGCATCTTTCTTCAGGCTATTCCTTTGAGTTTCCATTGTGGTTCAATGTCTAATCAGGAATATAGTTCTCTGGAATTTTACAGCTGACTATCTCCTGTTTAAAATCTTTTCTTATATATATATATATATATATATATATATATATGCATTTTTCCCTTTTGGGAAGCAGTGCTCTGCAATTTTCTGAAGTACCCTTTCATATCTATTCTAGATTGTTCAGGTTAATTGAAAAGTATTACACACGTCAGGTATTTTACTGGAGTCCAGTGCATGGGAGCAAGCACCTCCAGGTAACTAATCTTTTGTGAGGTGAGAAGAAACACCCTCCAGAGGTGCCCAGAAGTCCAGATAGACTTGGCAACTAAAACCTACATAGCCAAAGTTAAGGGAGAGGACCCTAACTCTCACCAGTCAAGGTAATTACAAGAGACTGCAGGTGACACCACATTGGGGTAGTGACTGATATGCCAGAGGGTAGGGCTTCCTTTTACAGGGACCTAAAAATCCTAGGAATGAGCTGTAAGTGCAACAGCTCAACAAAGGCAAAGGTGAAGTCCGGCACCTGTAACAGTACAACTCCATGCACCAGTGCCGAGCTTCCCAGTTCCAGAGATTTTTCAGCTAACTGCAGAGAGTCCAGCAGAGGAATGCTGAGTTGGTCAGGAACCTATAGAGAGGCTGAAGGACCTAGGTTTGTTTAGCTGGAGAAGAGGAGGCTAAGGGAGGACCTAATTTCAGTCCTCCACTACCTAAAAGGGCTTTATCGATGGAGCCAGACTCTTCTCAGAGAGGCACGGCAAAAGGACACGGTACAACAGTCACAAGTTGCATCAGGGAAACTTCCAGTTAGATCTGAGGAAAAAAATTCTTCCCCTTCAGCAATCAACAAGTGCCCAGAGAGGCTGTGAGACCTCCATCCCTGGAGATTTCCAAAACACAAGTGGACAAGGCCCTGGGCAACTTGAGCAGACTTTAGAGCTAGCCCTTTCGAGCAAAAGATTGGAAAAGATGGACTACAGAGGTCCCTCCCAATCTAATTTCGTCCTAAGTCTATCATCTACTTTACATGTTCTCTGTGCATATCAAAAGGCCATTTTAAGAGTTTTCTGCGCTTACCAACATGTTTTTTTTTTCTCAGAAGCTCTGCCCCTAGATCGCCCTTCCTAATATTTTATCCTTGGGTTTCTGGCTGCTGCTTCTCAACAGCTTATCCTCCATCCTCATTTTCAAGCAGTCATTCTCAATGGATAGCCCCAGGTCTTTTCCAGACAGCACCAGAATGGTGTTGATTTAGTCTTTGTCTACTCTACCCAACCTGCAAATAGCAGCAATTATATTTATTTCACACGTAAGCCATGTGGTGAATTTATGAGCAGCAGCAACAGTACTCCCGTCACCATTTTATGATCTTAGGCATTCCATGGGCACAATCCACTACCTTGGTTAACACTCAGCTTGTTTATAGAAAAACTTTGAGTCTAAAAAAATAAAAATATATACTCCTATCAGAGCTTACATTCATTATTAAGACTGATAAACACAGCACCTTCCTACTCCGCATAGCTGAGGAAATTGCTTCCATTTCCAAGGCCTGCATTATCTGATAAAACTATAGTGCCTTCCTCTCTTATAGTGCCCTGCTGTAATAAATGCGTCCTACCAAAATGAAAAAAAATCCATAGAAAGGTGGAATTTGTCTTCTATGTTGAAGTAAATGGAAAAAATAATTGGCGTAAAGATAGACTTCAGAAAAAATATCATCTGTGATCATAAACAATAGCACACAAGTCTCCCTTATGATTATTCTTTCTGCTGTTTCTATGAACATTTATCTAAGAATATATTATAAAGTTTAGAAGATTTCTAAAGCAATCAACATGAACATGCAAATTTAAGTTATGTCCTGTTTTAAAAGCTAATTTCCATCTGTACTTACTGTCTGTTGCAACACAACTGGCTGGAGCCTTAAATGCAGAACATTTGTTTCTGCTTGAATATCTGGGAGTAATAACTGAAGCTGAGGGTCGTAAATTTAAAGCGGTGTAGCCTTCCTCATCCTCCATCTCCAGCTCATCACACTTCTTTCCTGCAATAGCAGTACTTTGGGAGTAGGGGCACACTGCAGCGAGACCAATGCTGAGGCGATGAGAATGGTTCATGTTTCAGCATTTCCAGTGAAACCACGGAGGAAGCCGGCTCTGTTCTGATTACTGTGTTATGGTAAAAGTGTAACATATTGAAAGCACATTAAGGAGTTAAAGTGGCACTGTCAAAGATGGGTCTTTTCTTCCTGAATGTGAAGATGGGGAGTCTTGGTTCCTGGCTGGAACCTAAGACTGTTTCGTTTAACTATCCACCTGATCTGACCCTGTAAATATAGCAAACATCAGGATTTTCTACCTCCTTAAAATAAGATGCTCTAGAAATAGTTGCTCTTTTGAGTTAAAGTATGAAAGATATTTGTTCATGTGTCAGGGCCCAAGAACGGCACAACAGCTGCATGGAAAGCAATAGGCTGCATTTCCACATACTGTTATGAAAAAAATGAAAAATGAAATTATTTTACAAAAATTCGCTGGATTAAATGCTATAATGGGAAAAGCTGAGCTGACAGGATGGTGAGGGCAGGAACTCGGCAGGATTCCCATGACCGCTCAGCCTGTGTCAGAGGAAGACCAGACTACACTGCAGACCTCTCTGCTGCTGCACCGTGCGCAGAAGGCGCTGTGCAAAAGTGCCTTATCCATCCTCCCTCTCCATCTCTAGCTCTCTGCGGTGCCTTGCTCCAGCGCTGAGCCGTAGGTCTTAAACAGCTTCAATGACCAATTCTCCTTAACGGAGCACTTGCCCAGACATGATGAGTCACATCGTGACAGGGTCAGCCAGAAGGAAATTGCGAGAGAGGAATTTCTGTGGTCACTGTTGGGGCTCTTGTGTGTAAAGTTCAGAGCCTGCCATTTGCAAAATAGCATCAACAGACTGGAAACACACTATAATGAGTGGGCTACCCTTCCTGCCTTGCAGTGCAGATGATAGGTTTTTTCAGAGCAGAAATATCTCTGGCTGCATGTATTTCTTGCTTTATATCTTACCTGTATGCAAAGAAGAGGCATGATGGAAAAGTTGGGAGTAAAGGGTGCTTACAGTCAGTTTTGTTACACAGAGGCACAGAAGGAGTAGCAGTCACTGTGTATTCACAATATCCTCATAAAAACCTCATGCTAAATATGGTGCAAAAATACTTGTCTGCCGGGCCTAAAAACTGTATATTGGCAAGTTAGTGTAAAAAGGGTTTTTCTGCAGATAACTGGGAGTCAAGTGTGTCTATGCTACTGAATTTTGTAACAGGTTTTCCTGACAGTAATCTCTTCAGTCTTAGCAACAACTTTTCAAGCACGTAATGAATCTCCTTTGGGGAAACTTTTCTCCAATGTAATTTTACTTCTGGAGAGAAAACAGGAAGTAAAGTAATTTTCTTGTATTATTTTGGTAGCTATGAATTCAATAAGCAGTCTGTTAATTATATCACTTTTTTTTTTTTTTGGAGTCACCTTATAATCAGATTCTGCTGCAAGAACAGAAGTAACAAAAGCAGTAAGGTGGGGCTTCATCATCACACTCTCTGCTCTTCCAAGGATCCAGGGCAGGTAAAATTTCTTGTTTCTTCAGACTAAAATGAAAAGAAAGGTAAACTAAGGCAGGAAGTTTGGGTCTACATTTGAACACAGCCTGTGTATAAATGTTGTCAGCAGGCTGGACAAAACAGCTATGTTTATTAATCAGCTTGACCTTGAAAATTACATTTTCTGGAGTGTATGAACTGGGGGGGGGGAGCACAGGGAGGAGTGGAGTTTAGACATGGGAAACACACTGTTGTACGGAACTGTGATTCAAAAATGCCATCTCAGCCAATACATAAACAGCACATTTCTACGTCTCTTCCCCTGTAAGGAAAAGCTCCTTTCAGAGGAAAAGGGGATACGGTCAGACAGCACATCCTTAAGCCCTCCCTGGTGCTGACACCACCAGGGGATGGGCTTTGCCAGTTCCAACCTTGCCAGATGGACGAGTTTGTCCGCTGCTGCCGCGCTCCAAACACCTGCAGTGAATGCAAAGAGGCTGCCTTCTGCCTGTCTTCTCTGGGGTGACTTTCTCTTTCTTTCTTTGGTGGGGTTTTTTTGGTGTTTCAGTCACTGTTTTTTGAGAAGAAGCTAGCTCCTTCTGTTTCAGTAGCACAGTGCACTGTGAAACCATGCTCTAACCCCACCTGCCTTTACAGTTACAAATACAGTTGCTGCACCAGAGGCTGCTTTTGAGCTGGCAATAAATTGACCCAAAAGATCAAGGCCACAGCAAGATAACGATGTAGCCTTCTGGCTGCCTGTCAGTGTGGGGAGCTGTCAAGCTCACCTCATGTGTGCCTTCAACAAACTGCAGAAACACCTAGGATTCACCCATCTGCTGCTCTTAGGCATGCCTCATTAATGAAAAAACATCCTGGAAATATCTTTCCTGTTTCCTCACGGTCACTCTAATGTATGAGAAAACAAGATCAGACTGTTTTTTCTTCCTTTCTTTCTTTTTTAATTTTTCTGGCAAGTAACAGCAAAGCTCTTCATTATCAAGAAAGGATGCACCATGAATACAGTTCAGGATACCTTCCCCATGAGATTTCTTATTTCAGTGTAGCTAGTATGAATGATGAGAGACACTCCGGGAAGTCACCAGGGCTGTGTCTGCGCTGCAGGACAGAACCACTCTGCATTTTCACCCCCAAAGACAGACACAGTTAGGAGAGGAACTGAGAGGAGCAGCTAGGAGAGGTTACGTGAGAGATGCCAGTGGTGAGTGTAAAAAGCAGAGAGGAAGAGAAATCCACTAAGGTTTCTGGAGCGTGAAATTGGTACTTGAAAATAACAGCTGAAATGTTCATGTTGGTGATCAGAAACTGCCATGTAGTGCTGAGATCAGTGAGACACCAGAACAGCCCCTTGAAGGGAATGACTGATGCTTTAGCAGCCCAGCTGCTACACCAGTGGTAAAGGATCCACAATAAATAATCTGGGCTGCAATCCACAAGGAATACACAAGCCTCCAGAGGGGACCAAGCTAGGAATTCATGGACTTTCTGCTCAGATCAAAACACTGTTATGGGACTGGGATTTTTTATTGCAACCTGATTGTCATTGTTCTATGGCTATGTGGAGGGAGACATCTTGTTCATTAACACTACTCGGTATTTTCACTGTGGTTGGGTTTGTAGACCCTTGCTCAGCACATTAAGTTAGTAGCATGGCATTCCAGGAAATACCCTAAAAATACATAAAAGGAGGTTCTGTTCATGCCTCTGACTGAACCCTAGCATAACTCTTGCAACAGATGAAAAAAATAGAAAAATTTGAAAATTAGAAAAGCAGAATTATTACTAGGAAAAGAAAAAAGAAAAAAAAAAGAAAAAAAAAAGGAAAAAAAAGAAAAAAGAGAACTAACAGTGCCAGGAAGAAGTATAGAGCATGGAAGAGAGCTTGACATTCATAGCTGAAGGATATCTTTTTCTGTGACACATTCAAAAGTCCTTACGAGGACTATGAACCCCTGTGCTCCGGAGCAAGTAATATCTGTGTTTGTGTGTTGCATACTCCAGCCTACTAGGGTATTAAAGCAGTCAGATCAACAAGATATCAGAAGCATCTCCTGAATGGAAGTGTTTAATCCTCATCACTTGCGTTACGGTACAGCTGTGCAGCTATGAACTGACAAGCGGTATTAGGACTGTATCAGTGGATGCTGGGAGAGGAGCAGTATCTTTACATGCTTGGCTTGTCACTGTGCTTTTCTTCCTAGCCATCACTTTTGGCCATTTTGTCCATCACTTTTGTTGGTTAAAACTGAGTAATCATTTGGCAGTTTTGGATCTGGAATGACAGACTTGGGTCACTCCTGGAGCCTGTCATCATGCCCATTTCCTTAGTATGAAGATATTGTTACATATGTCTAAAAGAGAATGAAAACAGGGAAACGTATTAGGTCCAATCCAACATATTTACATTCTCATGTGATAGTTCTCAAAAACAAAATAAAAGATTCCAACCTTGCAGAACATCTTCTAGCTTCTCATAATCATTCTGGTCTGACAAACCAGTCCTCCTGCCAATGGTTGTTACCTCGCTGTAATTGGATGGCGGGCTTTTCACAGATATAGTAATTCTCTTCGTTACATGTTCTGCTATATACGATACCATGATAAAAATACCCACATGGTTGGCTGAACCTTATCTGCTTTGTCCTAGGAAAGAAAAATCTTTATTGTTACATCTCACCTTATTAGGATGGTGCATCCTTCCCCCTTCCAAAAAGAGAAGTCTTTGCAAGAATTACTTATGTGGCTTTTGCGAAGAATATATATGCCCAACGAAGAAATAAAGCATTTAGTGACATTGTGCACCAATTCCTAGGAGGCTGACCCTGTCCTGAACATGCCAACAAGCACTCCCAGCAGACTGTAAGGGTGGATCCTAAACCATTTCTTGTACCTGACAGTAAGAAACACTAACTCCTGGCTACCAACTGGAGGGTGTCAGTGGCTGTTTCAACAGAAATGTTAAGAGGAGACTGCCCAGTAATGAAAAGGAAAATTGGCAAAGCAGGTTTGAAAGCAAGAAGAAAAATATATTGTATTTCTGAAATAACATGTTAAACCAAAGTGAAATTTTGGGTTCTAGACAATAAATAGTGTCTTATGTAAAAATAAAAAAGTATAAAATCAAAAGTGTGAAATGAAACACCTTTCCATCAGAGTGTTTTCCTTGTGTCCTCACTGAAACAAGATGTCAAATACAAAAGAAACATGACATTTACGGTCAATCTGAAACTAAATTGTGGAAGTAAACTTTCCAGGTACTTTTTTTGCCCTCTAATATTGCCTGCATCACCCTCCAAGCAGTTCTGGGTGAGGCCAAGAAAAATCTGAAATGGAAAAGTGAATCCCGAAATACAGTGAAAGCTGCCTAACAGTTGGCTGTTCAATGTGCCCTTTGTGTCAGAGAAACTGGGAGTTGTGTGTGGGTGAGGACCAACCTTATGTACTGCAGCAAAACTGCCCACTTACCAGGACTTCTGTTCTTCTGTAAGGGGTGTGTTGTCTGTCCAATACCAGGTTCTCTGTTGATGTCTAAATATTAATCCAAGCCAGTATGTTCTTCTAGGAAATGTTTGTACCAAGTTCTATGCAGAGTAAGGACAATTCAAAACAGATATTCAGGAAGACAATAAAAATAAATATTTAGGCTCAGAAAATGAAAGCATTGACGGAAATTGCTTAAAGAACATAAATACCACAAATTGTTAACCTGTCAGGACAAGTTCTGCACGTAAAGGAAAAGCCTAGTATCAAAGGCGAAATGACAGTAGAACTGTTTTTAATCAGAAAGAAGATACACTTCTAGCTCTGAAGAGCAATGTCACTCTCATCAACCTGTTTTAAACCCTCTGGGTGAAACACTGGATTGTTGGATCGTTCTCCCTCCTTTAGTCATAAATCATTCCTCCTCCTTTACTCTGTCCTTAGCATTTGTCAGCAGCGAAAAGGAAGCCACTGCAGGGGGCTGTTGAGTTTGATTTGTTGAACCTTCACACTTGGCTCTAGCATCATTTAACTTATTGCAAAAGCTGGACCATGCCAAGTAGAGGAGGTCTTAAAGTTAAGCCTTTAGTGATATTCTGTTCTTAAAAAATTCTCTGGGCAGAACAGGTAAGAATGTAAACTTGAATAATGCTGCCTTTCTCACTGCTGCTTGAGGGAAATCTCTAAAGATTTGAATTCAGTTTTTCTGTTGTTGTCTTCTTTCCTTCACTCATCATTGCCACTCCCAGGGCACTACTCCATTTTCTCTTTTCCTCATATCTCTCAATGCTGTGATTAAGTCAGCTAGAACAGACCGCACCTCACAATCTTTGCTGTCACCAGTCTGGGAAGGTGAGAATAATGCTGCTCCCCTTTATTTCTGGGAGAAACCTTATGGCCTGTGGCTCAGTGAGAGAGGAGCTGGCATTTGTCAAGTGCTGGAGAGCAGGCAGGTCCAGCCCTGACTGCTAGCTTTTGGGACAGCATTTCTGCCTTCAGTCTTCCAGTACGTCTGCTGGCATCCAGAGGCAAAAGCATTATTTCACTCTACACCTGGCATTTTGTCTTCCCACCTCAGTTTGTTTTCCCTTACGAAAAGATTAGGCAAAAGATTAGGCCAGACTTCAGCAACTCGCTGCCAAGTGTTTGAATTTTGATTGAAAAGATGAGATTGACTTTTGTGGAAAGAACTCCTATGAAACTCCTGCTCACAGTGCCATTTAAGAAAATTGTGTGTGAGGTGACTAGCTGATAGGGTGCATGATCTTCCTCCATGCTAAACAGAGTGAGAAACCAGTCCATACCAGCTTTGCTTGGTCTTTTATCAGAAGAAGAGTAGAGTTTCGTGAGGAACAAAACCAGTGACTCTCCTCCCACGACTTCATTTTCTCGGGGTGGTAGTAACACGTATCGCCACCTTCCCACTTCCAGTTTGCAGGGCAGAGCACACAGTTCTGGCCTGGAAAAGGAAAATCATCACCCCATTTCTGTCCCCAGGCTGTCCCTCCCTGAACATCACTGTTGGCTGGTGATGACAAGATCCGTAGGGATGTTTGAGATAGTCCTCATTCAGTCAAAATCCCACTGTGGTCCCAGAAGTCTCAGGTAACGACACAGGTGAAAACCGAATCATCCCCTTCTCTCTCCCATTCCTTTAGCACTGGGAGGAGGTTCAGGCATTGCAAATGGAATATATTTGGCCCAATTTTAGGAGTCTACAAAAGTGATATGAGTCAACCCATCTGGTGTCCCATTTTAGTCAATGGACAGAAGCAGGTGTGTCTCAAGCATGCTTTTTCTGTCACTTCAGGTGTCTTTCTTGGGAGGAAACAGACTGTATCCTTGCACTACCAATTTCTCTTCATTGACTAAAAGGCAGACCTAGACAGTTAGCTTGTCTGTGGAACAATACCCACACAAATGAAATCCCCTTTCCTGACAGTCACAATAGGATCCCTTTGCCCAACACCCCTACTACTCAGATTATAATTTCTGAAGAGAACTATTTCTGTGGCTGGCTCATTGTCAGATGCCACTTAAATAACCGATCTCTTGCAAACTGATTTCAGAAACAGCCCTGCACTGTACACAGTCAGGAGACAGGGAGTGAACTCCCAGGTTGCTTTACCTGTGCTTCACAGCATATCACTTCTGATTTTAGGAGATTCCTGTCTTACCTGGGGCTGGTACTAGCACACTGTCCTGTGTGTGGACTGCTGTTCACATAGAGTGCAGTAAGTTGTTTAATTCTCAGGCACCACTGTAAGATTGTCTATTAGATGCAGATGAGCATGTTGTAGAGAATCCTGAACTAGTAGTGACGAGAACTGGCATGTCCAGAAGACATCCCACAGAACCCTTTTCTTATGGAAACTAAATCCCGAAACCCTGGTACCACTGCCAGGTCCCATGGCAGTGCACATGTGGCACTGCCTGAGACAGACATGCTCATTGCCTACTTTCTAGGTGGTCACATCTGAGAAGACACAGGCTCACCTGAGGAGACAGACCTGAGTAGACATAGAAGACCCATCTCGTTTCCTTCCCTGACATGGTGAAAGATAAACCCTCATCAAAACTTGTTGATTTACCATTATTTTTAAAGTTTTTTTCCCCTTCCAAGCATAGCTGATATCCTATTGCTTGCAGCATATTTGAGAAATTTGCATGCAGCTCGTTCTTTGTCATGTTGAGGTCTCTCAGTTGTTTTCTGTAATCCTTGGGAATCTGGAAAACTGAAATTCACAGTAAGACATTTTCCAGTGCTGTCCTTCAGAAAGGGTGGGATGCAGGTAGGGAATGTCTTAGCAGATCGTTAGGGATAAATACACCATTTGGGATAAATGTTATTCCTCCCTGAACAGTTGCATGTAAGGGCTGCTGAGATGGAGAACATTTGCACAGTGGATTTCTTATTATTTGGCTGTGAGTGAACAAGAAAATTAAATTGTCACTTTTTATCATGTATTTCCATTGTGTATCTTTCTCTTATATTGGTTTCCAGGCTGTGCTTTTTTCCCCAAAGTGTGAACTTCAGCTCTGCATCACAGTGGAATTGTTGCGGATGGGAGGAAAAGGGCACAACCTGTTTACTGTGACACAAAGCTTTTCCCTTCCCTTCGGATCCAGCATTATCAGAGGAATTCACTCGGTTGTTAATCACTACAGCAGGGTTGTGGATACAGTTTTTAAGGGACCAGATAATGGCAGCCAGAGCAAGAAGTGAATCTCCTACCCTACCACTTTCCAGCTCCCCTCCACATTGCTTATTTTTAGCCTCATCACATTGAGAAGAGGACAAAGATGCTGCGGCAAGGGAAAATACCTGGGTTGCCTGGTTGCCTGTTCTCAGCTGAACAAGAAGTTGCACCTGAAGGAGAGGTCAGCCTGATGTTATCCTGTAGCTTGGGTCCCCCAGCAAACAGAAAAGCATTAGTACTTACATAAAACTGCCAGGGTCACCAGCGCCATCAGCAATGCCAGGCACAGCGTGAGCAAAATCAGGACTACTGGCCAGCAAGAGCGGGACGAAGTGGAAGGCCCTGGGAGGAATTCAGTCATGAAAAGGAGGTGTGATACTAAGGGAATAGTGAATACATTAGCCTCATTAAGTTGCAGCCATCTTTGTGGTGCACTGGTGAATAAATAATTGCTTTTACTTTATGGTTGTACATTCCTGCTGCAGAATCTCTGCACACAGCAAAAGATGCCCAAACAAAGTAAGAGAGGAAGAGATCACAACAGCTCAGTGGAGAATGTGAACAGCCTTGGTCCTTTTGAAGGCCATAGGCTGGGGCAAGAAAGATACTGAGAAAGCAAGATATTGCAAAATCTAGAAAGTTGATTGCTCAAAGCTGAAAACAAATATGCACTGTATGTTTGGGGTAATTTGTGATGTGTGGCACATGTCTGTGGTGAGCTGGTTAATTTGATTCCTACAATAAACTCCTCTGGTACTTTATGGTAGTTTGAGATTTCTAGCTAGGAATTGATAGAGAATTTTTCTGTAATAAGGTTTACAGCCTAGACACAGAAATGAGCACTCAATGAGGAGAAAAAGGAACAATCTTTTCCTGAGCAAAGAAAATTTTAAGCATGTGGGTCATCCAAAACAGACCCTGTTTATAGGAGGTGGAAGATTTAATGGGTTAAGATGCACTGAAGGAGGGAGAAAAAGCATTCAGATTGTCAGAGAAGCACTAAATCAAAGGCAGGTATTAACATTGCTGCTATATGGACTTTGTGGAGAGCTGCAACCAGTTTGACTTAATCCAATAAAGGCAGTAGAATGGGAATGTGGAGAGGAAATTGCTAGTCTAGAAAAGGGAAAGAGGTATTTAAAATTTGGGAGTGAATTGCTGCCAGAGTAGGAACTGAAATCTAGCGTGTCATGCTAAAGGAACAGGAATGGAAACTACGCAGGCTGCCTCTCCTGCAAACAGCCTGTGGTCAGCTTCTGTGGTGAAGCAATCCTGGGCAGAACGTTGTACAAGACCTCACTCTATGGAAACTCAAGTTGATGAATATTCAGGTGAAAGATTAGGCAATGGATGTTGTCTTGGACGGGGACACAGATCACTGCTGGCTTATATTCAACCTCCCATTCACCATAAACTCCAGGTCCTTTCCAGCCTCCACGGCCAGCCTGCTCCCAGTCTGCGCTGCTGCCTGGGATGAGTCCAGCCTCAGTGCACAACAACTGGTGGAGCTTCATGGGGCTTCTGCTTGCCCAGTCCTCAAGTTTCTCAAGGTTCCTCTGTTCTGAAGCTCTACCACTTGGTAGCATCAGCCACCACTGGAATTATAAATTTGCTGAAGACACACTCTCTGTCATTTTTCAGGTCGTTGATGAAGATATTAAACAATATGGGCTCAGTATCAATCCCTGAGGGACCCCTGAGGGACTCTGCCACCAAACAGATGTTGAGCCATCAGTTACTCTCCTTTGAGCCTGGTAGTCCAGCCAGTTTTCAATCCACCTAACAGTTTACCACCCAGCCCATAACTTCCTCAGCTTTAAAGTGACAATACTGTAGGACACACTGGCAAAAGCCTTGCTAAATATATATTACATCTGCCACTCTCCCTGCACCTGCATTTCATCACAGAAGGCAACCTCAGTCTAAGGAACTGCTCTAACTGCTTGGTATTGCATAAAAGAGAAATACCTAGTCCCTTCACGAAGAGAAAGAACGTCTCCCTTCTGCATTATTTTCCAAAGTCTGATCTCACAGGCATATGATAGATACAGTCAGAGATAAAGCCTGCACAGGAGAATCACACAGCTTTTAGATCCTAACAAGACTTAAAGACGCATTGACTGCTGGAACATACGGATATTTTTAAGGCCAAAGTGCTTCTGTACATGCTCTGAAGCTGAATATTAGGTGCCTGGAGAATTTCAGTAATAGACATGACTCCCTAAGGCAGTCATAAGTCCCTAAGTGCTAAATAGACTCATATGAATTGGAGCTGAAGGGCAAAAATAAATTGTTCCTCCCCCTACAAAGTCACAGCCCCAAGCAGAAGACTGAAAGCATTATAGTCCACGCTTCCTGGAGCTTTTAGATGAGAAGAGACAAAGATTTTGTAGTTTGAAAGTGAGATTTCATAAACAAATACAAAATATTTTCTGGGCAGCAATATGAATCAAGACCAAGCAGTAGTTTTAGCTTTGGCTGTTTTAATTAAGCTGTTGCCTCAAGAGTTTCTTTAGGTAACAGTTCCCTGTACTGTACTTTGTGATATCACGTGCTTCTGCTACACGTAGCACAGCTGAAGAGACTTTGGGCTGGGTCCTCCTTCCTGTGTGGTACTCGCATTGTCCTCAAAAGGATATGTTTATTCATTGTGGTTATTTCAATTTGATGTTTGTGAAATAATGCACAGACTGTGCTGTGCGCTTTCAGAATGGGGCTTTCTCATCACAAAATATGCGTTGTCTACCCTGGGACACAGAAGCAGGACATCTGGAGTCGTATGAGGATAGCGGTATCACTGGACGTTAAAGGAGAAGAAGCCCGGAGCTTAACACGAAGAGCTCAGATATTTACTTTTTTTTTTTTTTTTTTTTGCCACTGAACTATATTTTGGCAATGCTCAAAACCATAACTTAACAATGTTCAAAAAACATATGTTCAAAAAACCTTAAGTGTTCAGAACTCCTGCTCTTTGATACAGAATTCCCCAGAGAATTCCTTCTGAATCACAAGCAAGTTGTCCTCTTGTTTGTAAATCTCTGCTCCAGAGCCTGACCCCATGAACAGCTAGTACTTTCTATGTTCTTTGTTCCCATAAGTTCCACCACTCAAATCTAGAGCTCATCTTCGCAATTTAACACAAATTAAGCAAAATTAATTTTAAAACAGTATTTTAAATATAGTATTTAAAAATGCATTCAGCCTTTTAACAGATATAGCCATTTCAAAGACCAGGGCCTTAATTCAGGCTAGAACTTCAGAAGTGAAATAAAGTGAGTCGGTTAAAGCTAATTCAGTTCTAAGCTTGAATGCAAATGCATAGAGAAATTAAATGGAACTGATCCACTAAAAATTAGTTCAAGTTAACTCTGTAGAGGTTTAGACAATTAGCACTGTTTGTGGAGGTTAGTATAACACTCAGTAATATGCTTTTCCATGAAATAATAAGATTACGATTTCAGGTATACTCTCCAAACTCTAAAAAGTTCAGGAAGAAATGACAGCAACAAAACCCGCGATACATTTATAACTAGTATAACTTTTCTGAGAGTAACAAAGCAAACAAAGGTCCCTTGGGCATATAATTAAAAGTATTTCCCACCCCATCTACTTTAGCAAGAATAAATTATAAAAGCTTCATAGATACTACACCTTTTTTCTTAGTATCTTCAGGCTTTGTGATATTATCCAGTTCATAGCTGTTTTCAAATTTCAGATTAGCATATGTTACTTCTTCTGTCATAGCTGGTAAAAAGAAAAGCATCAGAACAAAAAGGTAGAAGAAGATCTGGCATTTGCAGCTAGTAAACTACAAAGAAAATCTACCCCTTTGTGGGGTTTCCTCACACTGGCAGACACAAATGAAACAGCAGAGACGTCAAGACGCACGTGAGCTTCCTCAATCACAGTACCACCCAGAGAATGTTCCTCTCTCACTCATTGCTATATGCTCTTTCTTCCCCTTTACCTTACTTCTACTGTCCCTGACTGACGTATGTTTACTTCTGCCATTACTGAAAATGCAGCCACTTTTGTAGAACTCTTCTTCTTTTGGATAGACAACATTTAATTCCTCATTATATCAAGTTCAGGCTTGAAACACAGAACTGAATACAATGTTTTACAGCTTTGAGGCCACCTTTTAGTTTGGACAGCTGTGTTCAGCAGAAGATTTGTGATCACACTTAGTTTCTGCTTCCTGCCCGAATGTGCTAAAAGCAAACCGGAAGGTGGACTTGCATCTTAAAAGTGGCAAACTGTGCTCTCATCCAGAAGAAGTAAGCACTTGTGCTTGAGGTTGGCACCTCCGCTAGGATACATCAAGGTGTTGGCTCTTGCCTTCCATGCCGCCTTCCCAAAGTGATTGAACTGGGAGCTCTAAGTCACCAAACTAGAAGAACCTCTCAACAAAGGCTACATCTCAGAAGGTATTTTCTTCTAGTCAGCTTTCTGGCATTCCATTTCTGAAATAATTTTCTGTATTCTTCATTTCTTCTCCAGATCTATGGCATGAGAAAAAGCGTACAATAACACGCAGATTTTGAGAATGCACAGTAAAGTGAGTATTCAAGAAAATACTTTCCATATATCTCCCTCACAGAGATGGACACAGCTGTAGAAACTACTTTTCTCTGAGGTGAACAAACAATCCTACAGAGGAAAAGAAATGACAGGGACCCCCGGTTAGCCAAGGAGGAGGTACACGTTTGTTTCATCTCAGTAGAAGTTGGCCACCTGCTCTACGGCTGTGTGCCTCCTGTGAATCCATCGATCACTGCATTTCTCTGGAGAACAGCAGTTCTGTGTTATCCTGGTAGGGCAGTGCTTTGCTGGACTATTGCTATTACCCAAAGAATTGTCTAGGCCAAATTTTGTAACGTAACAAATTTTGTTAATGGCGTGAGACCATGAGACAGGGTCTTCTAGAGCGAGAGCTAAATACTCAGTTAATGCCAAAATATCAGTGATTTTACGATGAGTAGAAAGGCAGACAGACACACTCCTTAATGAAAACAGAAGCAGGAGAATAGATTAATCGAGAGGTTTTACACCCTCTTAATGATGGTTTTTAACACTTCCACAGTTGTGAAACCTTAAATATGCATGACGAAAGCAGGATGTCTGGAGTTTCTGGTACAGTTTTTGCAATTTAGCAAAAATGATGAATGGTACAGAAATAGATTATGCATGCACATTACCACCTGAGTGATTAGCATGAGGCTTACGTACACTATTTTACCCCATGTTAGGAGTGTAAAGCGTTCTAAAAATGAGCAGGCGTATAAACTAATCCTCCTTTGTACTTCTGGACCTGCATAACTGAGACTTAGGCTTTAATTTTTCACTTTGCTGAGAATATTAAGCAAACATTATTCTTTATATCAATGCTAAGATCCAAATGACTGGTCTAAATTAAAAAAAGAAATTTACATCATTAAAATACTGGATCAGCTATGTAGATGGAACACACACACAAAATACATTAATACAAAATGTCAGAAAACCAGCCAAGATTTCCAGAAACCAAACTCTACTAAAAATCAACCTGACCTGGTTGTTTTGGGATTTTTTTTTGCTTGGGTTTTTTTTGTTTGTTTTGGGGTTTTTTTTTGTTTTGTTTTCATTTGTTTTTTTCTTCCCCACAAGTGTGCTTGTTTAGGGAAGTGTCATTGGTAAAACATGTTTATTTGTAAATGCCTAAAATGATCCATCAGCTTTGTGCGCCAAAATAATTCTGGGGTTTTGGATGTTGTACTCTCTCAGGCACCAAGTTAACCAAGTTAAAAGATCTGCACTTTCAGAGCATCTTCATTGACTTAAAGGAGGCAAGCCAGCACCCAGCACCTCTGAATGCTACAATGTGTTCATGGAGGCATTAAGAAAAATAAGCATCTATACAATTATATCCTTTTTATTTATTTATTGCATATTATAATTTGGCTATTGCTCCAGACAATCAGAAATTACAACCATTTAAGAGAAACCATAGGTAAGGACTAAAATGAAGAAAGTAAAATAAGGGTCTAATAGAAAACCTATATAGTCATGCTATTGTAGTATGACTACTTGTCGGCTGAGAAATGCTGTCGCTTCTCCATTTCTTAACTGACCCGTATACAGAGTGAGGAAACTTCTGGCTGTTTGAAGTATAAAAAATGGCATAAATATGAGAATTTCAATGTTTGTTTGATCTAGGCAGCTGACTCCAACAAACTTCTGGACTTAGAGGAAGAAGCCCTTGCCATTTATTTAGTTGATACATAATTTGTTGTGCTGCATCTCGAAATGTGTTGTGAAGATCTGGAAGGCTAGAAACATCGTTTGCTAGTTGACAGTGCTGAGGGTAAACAGGACAAAGATTTCTTGACTGAATCTAAAACACAGAGTGTTTCTAATTTGTTGTAAGCAAATACAGCTACAGTTCATTCTCCTGAAATTCTTACGGAACAGAAAAATGAAACCAGGGTGAAATTCAATAATGCAAATGGCAAGGCCACATATATGGGAATGGGTAGCCAGAAATTTCTGACTCAGAAAGGGCTTGAAAAGAAAAGAACAAAAGTATAAGAATATTTTCTGTGAGTGTGAGTAGGAACTGGGAACATATTGTGGCTGTGAGGATCTCATGCCAGTTACATCAGAGGAAGTATCTAGAGCAAAGGTAGTGAAATTTAAGTGCTGGTACATAAAGCAGTAGTGACACCACATCCAGAATACTCTGCAGCATTGTTCTGATCACCAAACTAAGAAGGATATAATCAGTTTGGAATAGGTGAAGAGAAGCGCTATTTGTAAAACCAGTCAGACATAGTTTCTGTCATACTTGAGGACACTAAATGATTTTGTTTACCCTTGCACATTAAAAATAAGTAAGGTTATTATAGGAGAGTGCTGAAGAATGTCTGCCCAAGAGTAAAGGATTATAACCTAGTTTATGGATATTTTAAAGCTGTAAATTAGAACAAAAATTTCTTAGACAAGATAAGTGAAATCCTGTAATAGCTTTCAGATGAGAGTATCCATTATAATTCAACCTTCCATGTAAGCTGCTCATACACTTTCATCTTCCATTTTGGAAAAACAGGCCTTTCCCAAAATACAGGTTGATAATCATACATAAGTTTCATGAATTGCTATTGTACTCCTAAAAACCCCTGCAAAGTCAGATGTTATAGGAAGGATCCTTTCAATTATAAGGTGCTTTAAAAAAAAAAAAACAAAAATCAAAACAACAAAAAACCCAAACAAACCACAAACTCACTATTACAAAAGTAAAAACAAGCAAACAAGGGAACCAAAAGAATCCTCAAACCTGAAAACCTATAGCAGAATTAGCTGCATCCCTAAATCTCATCTAGGCATGTAATACACCACAACTGAGGCAGCATGTGCCTTCAGAGGAGCTAGGGAAGTGAAATAAATGGATTAGACCTGCCGGAATATTCTCAGGCCAGCAAGCTAGAGTGAATAAGATCAACTAGCTGACTGTACACAAGTACTTCTAAAACTCAACAGAACAGAAAAATTCAATAGCACAGAATAGAAGGTCATGAGCTTAGAAGACTAATAGCTGAAAGGACTGCTTGGAACAGTAAGTTCATCTGCTGGAAACAACTGTGAGAGCTGGTCACAGGATGTACATGGACCATTTGCATCCTGTGAGCATGATAAACTTTGGGAAATGTGTTCCTAACAGAAGAAGAGACAAGCTGGTGCTCAGGCTCTGCTGCATCTGGAATACCCTTATGGTTAAAGCACCTCTGGTCAGAAAACACAAACCAAAACTAGAGTGCAGAAAAAGGCTGTGCTGATGACAGGAATGTGAGGCCTCTCTTACCAGGAGAATGACTGAAAACCTTGTCTCCTTCAGTTTGGCAGAATGCCATCTGAAAGGGGAAATGGTTGGCCTCTTACAGATAAAGAGGGGCTAAACATCAGTGGGAAATGAGTCGTTTAGATCTGTGTGATCTGACATCTTCTACAAAGGCACTGACTGCAGCTGGCGGAGCGGAGAGGATGCCCTCAGCTCTTCTGGTTCCCACTCCCATGAGCAGTTTATTAGAGTAAATAGAGCCACCATTATTTCTGGTTTATCCTATCACATGGAAAAGAACCAATGGTAGCAAGAGAGAGTTTGAATCCTTTCTGCTAAGGCTGGCCCTGTGTTTCTGAACGCTGCTGAATAGCAAGAACATGCTTCCTGCTGCTCTTCAGTTCAAGTGGACAGTTCAGCTAGCATCAGAACCTGGTGCAATTTAAAGTAACCCTGTTGCAAATTATCAAATTGCATTATGACTTGCCAAGGTTCTAAAAGCTTGAAGCCACAGCTCTAATGATGCCCAAGTCTGAGAAACCAACACTGACAATCAAAGACTGGGTCTTAATGGTTGGAAAGTTTGAGGGCTTCCAGCTCTGATGATCAGCCTGTTGATTAACTAGTTCAGTTGATATTTTCTCTTGTACATCTTCTCTATTAGATAATGCTGGTCTGGTTTGGTTTTTTTTTTGTTTGTTTCTTTTTCCTTCTCTTTCCCCTTTTTTCTTTCTTTCTTCTGCTTCTTCTTAGTCTGGAATTGTACTTCCTTTTGACGTCTCAATACTTCTTGTTTCTCCAAACAAGTTACCACACCTCCTAGTGTACAAGTATTTATAATGTGTCATATTGTGTTAGAAACCTCTTCTATGTTATTCAGTTCAAAGAACAAAATCACTACAGAAGTGGTATTTGACGCATGTTTCAGAGCAGCAGGATAGGATAAATTTCCAGTTGTCTGAGCATTGAGTCTTTTCAGTCAATAAATTTGTTCAGGATGTTATACTCCTCAGAGGAACAATGAGTTTCTGTAGTCACTAACAGCTCTTCTTTGGGAAATGAGTTTTTCTGTTGTAAATTCCATTTTCCCTCATAAAAG